TGTGTGTGTGTGTGTGTGTGTGTGTGTGTGTGTGTGTGTATGTCTGTATACGTATTGTTTAAGTTTTCCACAATGAACAATGAATTTTCTTGCAGTAATCTTTGAAGTTTTCAGGAAGAAGATGGGGCCCCACAACAACTCCACCTGGTTGATATGACATCATGATGCTAATAGTGCTATAATTAAGATCTGTTTTAGGTGTCAGCTCCTCAAGATGATTCCAACTTGGTTAGCCAAAATGGTGTACTTTTTTACAACGTTCTGCCCAGTACTCCAAATAGGAACCTCAGAAAAACCCTACCAAATACTCAGAGACTATTTCCAATTATACCAGACAGTGATCTTGGAAATTAACCATCATTTTACTTTCACAGGATCCCATAAGAAGTACATCAACTCCATGACAGCTGGAAGTATTCTAGAAGATGACATCTCCTCTCAAAACAAAGTTTGTCCCCAGGATTCAGGGCATCATTTAGGTATTGATTATAATTGGTATAGGGTTGGGGCTTTCAGGAAACATTTTGTAGGCTAAGGGATCTCTTTGAAAAAAAGGGGAAAATTGGATGGTATAATAGATTAGTGTGAGCTTACTCACACTAATAATAAGAATGAGTAATTGAGTGAATACTTGTGAGCTATTATTTATAGGCAAATTACATTGGTATAGATTCTTGTATATTGATAGAAACTTAAATTATATTGAATATGTTCCTATTTTCATCTATTTGTATATCTAGGAAAGGTTATTTTGTCATATTGTGTTCATGTATGCTTTTACCTCTGCTTAAAACATTTTTGTACATTTATACAAATTTAGGATATATTTATCATATTACAATGTACATTTCTACCTATGATCAAAATACTTTTATAAATTGCTTACATTTTGAGATCATTGTCCTCATTTGTTGCACTGTTGTTTATTGTATAATATTCTAATATAAAGTCATAGACTTTAAGTTATATAGGTATTATAGATCAGTAGTTATCTACGTTTGTCATATTTATTGTTACACTAATCATGTTCTTTAGATACATAAATATTTTATTCTGCATAAACAGGTAATCTTCAACCATTTCAAAGAACTGTAGAATATGGCGTTTAAACAACTTAGGGTTCTGTTGAAGTGAGATACAATTGTTCCTGGCAGCACTGATCTACTTCACAAAACAATGTTGAGCACCGAAGACACTCCTCTTGGAGCTTGTTTTCTTCTTGGCAAAACTGGCCTTTGTACAAGGAACTGCCTATGTATCTACCACTGACAAAATGCACGATGTCTGGATAGGACAGCAGGATACAAGAAAAAAGACTGTCAAACCTTGGCAATACAGGGTAAGAGGTTTTGAAAAATTTCTTGCCTCAGAAAATGGTCTGTCAGTTATTCTAGGCCTTAACCAAAGTTGGTTATCAAGGTAGCCAGTTGCCTCTGTCATTTGTAGCACATTTTGAAAGTTACTTAATTATACTTTCTGCTCATTCCAGTAGTATTATTTTTGTTCTCAAATCTTCAATGGGGTTGAAGACTAGATAGTTGTAGTGACTTTCCTCTCATGACTTGGCCAAGTTATTTATTATATAAGACTATAACTTATCAAGATAGGATAATTATTGAAATATTTACCACATGTTTGTGGCATGATATATCTGTTCCTAATGTATATAATTTTGTATTAGGCTTAGAACTCTCTTATTTAAGCAAAATGGGGAAGTACTGTAGGAATTCCTACCAACAGTAGCCTTTATATTACCAGCCCACTTGGGTGTGGTAACTTATACAATTTATGCCAATTTAAAGTGTGTCTGGCCTCTTTTCTGGCTATGTAATTCATGTTCCTATCACATCAAAGGAATTTTACACAGATGGAGGTGTGATCCTAAGCATAATCCACCTCAGGAAGAAGCCTTGTCCAGAAGAGACAGAGGGACAGACAGATATAATATCTAGTAACTCAGCTGTGTGTGGAGCTTTTCTATTTCACATTGATCCTAAAGAGACATGACAGTGTGGAAACAACATTTTCCATGCATATGATGAAAAGAGACTAAAATAAAGTGTGGCGAATCTCTAACAATGAAAATATATATACACAGATGTACATTAATGCTTCAATTTCTGTAAGTGTCATCAGTGGGTATAATGTCTTATATTTGCTCTGAGTACTGCCTTCTGCCCAGGGTCCAACTACAGAGCCTGTTATGACAGAAAGATATGCAAATAAGTCTTCTTTGTGCTCATAAAATCCAGCCTTGCCTTGATCCTGCAGCTCTGGCAGAGGAGACAAGCCCAGTCAGGGTTCAGCACTGAAAACAGGACACTCACCGTGGATTTAGGGCTCATATTGGTTACCTTTGTCCTTATTTTAAAAGGTCATTCATAAATATGAGAAGTTGTGTGTTGTCTGGACATGAGAAAGAGAAAAATATCTTCCGTGTCAGTTTTCTAACCAGAATTCTTTGCATTTGCAGGTGGACAGTGTGAGATGCAATTGCTTGAGTCCGGGGGAGGCTTAGTGCAGCCTGGAAAGTCCCTGAAACTCTCCTGTGCAGCCTCTGGATTCACCTTCAGTAGCTACTGGATGATTTGGGTCCGCCATGCTCCAGGCAAGACACTGGAGTGGATCACACACATTAATCCAGATGGTGGTAGCACCTGGTATATCGACTCTGTGAAGGGCCGGTTCACAATCTCCAGAGACAATGCCAAGAACACTCTGTACCTGGAAATGAGCAGTCTGAGATCTGAGGACACAGCCATGTATTACTGTGCAAGAGACACAGTGAGTGAATGTTACTGTGAGCTCAGACAAAAACTCCGCTGTGGTGAACACAAGACCAGCAGGGGGCGCTGAGAGCACTTGGAGATCTGGGTCACAGAAGAGCCTGCTCAGAGAAGCAGGAAGACTGGACTTCTCTGTGTCTGCACTGTCTCCTCTTATCACACTTAGAGATTTTTTTCTACAGGTATGGTGTGTAGTAATCCTTGAATGTCCAAATGATTATTTAAATTTCTGGTTCCAGTTGTGATTTTATTTATTATAGTGTTTCTCCTTGTTTCCCTTTATCTCTTTCTATCTCCCTATTTCTGTCTATGTCTCATTCTATGTCTCTCTCTCACTCCCCTCCCTCTCTCTCTCAATCTTTCTTTCTTGCTCCTCTCTGTGTGTGTGTGCGTATGTGTGTGTGTGTGTGTGTGTGTATGCTGACATATGATGATGCATTTCTCTAACAATCTATACCACTTGTTTTGAGACCATTTCTCTCACCTGGCCTGGATCTCAACGACTGTATACTCTGGTTGTCCAATGAGTCCCAGTGATGGTTTTGTCTCCACATTCCCTATGTGGTCTACCTGGTTGACAGCCACACCCATTTCTTTCTTTAATTAAGGATTTTGATTTCTGTGTTCAGAAACCACTGATGGGTTCTTGTGTTGCAAAAACTTGTTTCTCACAGTTCCATTATAGTTGCTTTTTAAACTGAGAATGTGCTTTGTCCTCCTGAACAAAATGCAGATCACCACACAGAGCAAAATGATCCTGTATAGTGATCAGCATCAGTTCCTGAAGAAGCCAAAGAAGGAGGTAAAGCCAAGATGAGGCAGGCATCTCAGAACCACATGTGAGTCTAGAGGACACTGGGCCATCTGTTTGTCTCCATGAGTACTACATTACCCATACAGAAGCATAAACCCCTAATTAAAACAGTGTATTTTTTAAAAAATGTCTCATTCAATTCTGTGATTTATCCAAATGATATACTTCCTGTGTAGTTTGCATGAGACAATGATTCAAATGGTAATATTTCAAAATATATTTATTATTTTGATTAATAAATACTGTGTTTGAAACATCACTACTCCCTGTTAAAATTATAACATGATTTCAGTCATCCAAGAGAACATTTTAATTTTTTTTTCTTTTCAAGAAAAACTCCTTCCTTCCACTTCTCTAAGTTTTGAATCATGAAGTTAATAGATGGCACAGGGAACCCAGTGCTGAGAGGTGATGTCATCATGAACACACATTGCTCTGCCCTCCATCCTCTCATTGGGATGATTCACTTGACCAGTACATGTGGGCAGAAGAGGTTGCATAAAGCAGATATTTTTAATAGCCACAGAAATGGATCTTAAACCCAAAAGAATTGGTTGCCTGTAACTAATGATATAAGTGCCATTTACCCAAGGAAAGAATAAAATCCTGGCTGGAGGAGTTCCCACTGGCCTGGGCCGAGACAGGGGGCATGGGACTAGCCGCCCAACAACCACCATTAGTAATATCCTTAAAAGCCACGGCCTCTCCTGTGTCAATCAAGCAGTACCCCATGTCCCAGGAGGCATACCAAGGAATTAAACCACATATCAAAAGACTTTTGGACCAAGGGATCTTAGTCCCTTGCCGGTCACCATGGAACACTCCCCTCCTTCCTGTGAAAAAACCAGGCACAGGAGATTATCGGCCGGTTCAAGACCTACGAGAGGTCAACAGACGGGTGGAAGACATTCATCCTACAGTCCCCAATCCATATAATTTACTGAGCGGGTTGCCGCCCTCTCACGTCTGGTATACAGTGCTAGACCTCAAAGATGCTTTCTTTTGTGTAGGGATAAGTCCCACCCCTTAGGGGGCGTGTTCGCCTCAGGCTAAAGTTTGCCTATAAATTTGGCGAGCGTGCTCCCAGCGCTCGCTTCTGCTTTCCTGGTCACCGTGGGAACGGTGGTTCTGTAAGTCTATTCCTCCATTAAAGCTGTCTATATATTGACAATCTGTCTGCATTCGCTTACGCCGTTACATTTTGGCGCCCAACGTGGGGCTATTTTGCCCCCGACTCAAGCGCATAGCCTGCTAGCTAACACAGCACGCTCCCGGGTGTCATTTTCTTAGTTTGTGACTCGGGCCCCAGGGCTGAGTCCAAGATACACTCTGCCTTCAGGCCCATAATATCCAGAGAGACAGGGGGATCTCTGTGAGTTCAAGGCTGGCCAGGAGGTGGTGGCATACGCCTTTAATCCCAGCACTCCGGAGGCAGAGACAAGCGGATCTCTGTGAGTTCGAGGCCAACCTGGTCTACAAGAACTAGTTCCAAGACAGGCTCCAAAACCACAGAGACCACCACCGGCAGGAACCAGTCGTTGCAGGTAAGAGAAAAAATTTTCTTTTATAATTAAAATGTCTGAACACGTTACCATTCAAGAATTTAACTGTTTTTTTAATTGTACCATGTGGGAG